CACCAGAGATTAATTGTGTTGTTTCTCACTCTGTGACTTAACAGCAAATGGTTCCTTGCTTGGTGTTTACTTTCTACACGATGCAGGGTGTGTGCACATTCTCCCTCTTTGAGAAAACAGCCTTGTTGTGGTCTATTATCTTTTTTTCTTTTTTTAAGAGAAGAACATACCAAGTTTGTGCTGTTATTATGCAAAACCCACTCCCTGATATTTACATGTAATTTAATTCATCTTCCACGAAATGCTTCAAAATGTTCCAAAACCCAGACATTGAGGCGATGTTAAAATCCTGCATGCTTAAAAAGGCAAGTGTGGAGACAGCAAGTTCTTATTTACAGTGATGGTCAAACATAAATGACTGGGTTTTGACAGTGTGTCCATGTGCACTGTGTCCTCTTCTTGTCTGTCCTCAGTGTGTCTTCAGCTGCTACACTTCACTGTGGCAGCGCTTTTAAGATGGCGTTCACTTCCTCAGCCACTGCTGTTAGAGCAAACTCAAACTGGTCCTGAGAAAACAAAAAAAACCCACATTAGACAGAAAGGAACACTCTGTTCCAGACAACAGGAAAATAGACTCACTGACTGTCATACCTTGGTGTGAACCAGACCAGGTCTCTGGTCTCTAATGTGCTCCAGCGTGGCTGCAATGTCAATCTCCTTCACTCCTAAAGACCAAACGACAAAAATAATCACCATTTAAAACATTCTTATTAACATGAAAAAAATCAGTTTTACTGTTCTGTGTTCTGGGGAGATTGGGCTTTTTTTGTAGGAGAAGCTCAAGTAAAATAGTACTAATAATAAATAAACAATACTTGTGGATATTCTCAGTCACCCAGGTCATCATAACAAAATAAATAATGTTTATATTAATATATCCTTGTTAAAATAAATTGAAGGTTTTGATTTATTGTTGATCAAATACACAGTGGATGCACACATTGTTATTTGAACACACCGTGGGAAGGCTTCAGTTATAGTTTGTCACGTTTCCATATTAGTAATTCTATCATTTGGATAAATCACAAATAAAAAGTTGAGAAAACTTAATCCTGATTACTCGTGAGTAATTTACAGCTACTCTCTGATTAACCAGATAAAAATATTTAATCATGTTACTGCAGTAGTTGATACAATCCCTGAGTCGGCAAGAACTATGTTGAATCACACTTGTAATAACATATTAGAGACTAACATTTATTTAAAATCTGCCCTGTTACTGTGTGTTCTGCACAGTAAGAATAACGTTCTTTTGTTATAGTACTGTGTGACCTTGAACAGCTAAGCTTTGTTGTCAAAGGGCGATCAGCGTCACCTTGGGTTTCTGTTAACGAAGGTCAAACTACAGATTCATTTGTTTAGGTTTGACAGAGCGTCTCACCTTTGGCCATGCGGTTCAGCCCCATATCAATGAGGATATAGGTACCAGTCCTGCCAGTGCCGTCACTGTGGAAATGATGAGGACAATTTCACTGTAAATATTCTTTTAGTAGCTGTGTATTTTCCTGTTGTTCCTAAGAAAGTGTCGGGTTCATTTCCTTTACCTGCAGTGAACGATGATCGGGCAGGAACGACCTCTGTAGCATTTATTCACCTTTCTGAAAAGCAAAGGAACAAGAGAAAGTAGAGAAACGACTGACCAAATGTAGTGTTTGGCATGTTTTGCATGTTTTATAGGAACTGAGGTTAATATATATATATATATACATATATATATATATAGTAAATGTAATGTGAAAACATAAAGAGAAGCATGGAGTAGGTACATAAACAGCCGATACTTCATTCAGATACTGGCACTTAAAAAACATAGTAATCCAGTGACCCAACACTCTCTAATGGTTTTTCACCGCAATCAGCTGCTCAGTGTCTAGCCAGTGTTTTTGTTTTCCTGCTGCAGTTCAGTGTCTCAGTGTTCTGTTTAACATAGACTAAGAACGGCTCAGTGGATGGATGAGGAGTTAACACCTCACCATGTCACTTTTTTGTTAAGATTTATTTAACTGTTATAGAGTGTGAACTCTTTAGTGCTAATGGTGCTATAAAGATGAAGGGACACACTGTTTACTGGAAATCGGGGGACAATGCTTCCATTTAAGATTGCAGTAAAAGTTCTGCTCACTTTCTGTTCAGTCGGCTAGAAAGAAAGTTTGTAGAAAGTTTAATTTTATTATTTTATGATATATACCATCTCTATATATATATTTATCATGTATATATAATTAATATATCTTATATTGTAACAGTGCATTGAAAGTTTATTCGAACCAAACCTAATGACGTTTTGGTGACAGTACTCAGTGTCCGTGAGTACACAAATGAAAACACTTACAGTGGAATTGGTTTGTAAGAAATGGTATTGGAACAATGGAATGAAAGAAAAGAAATAGAAACTGCAAGAGATTGTGAAGGACAGCGAGGGTAGAAAACAGGAAAGAGGAAAAAATATAGCAACAGATTTACTGTCCCTCTTGCAGTAGTCAGTCACACCTGCCAATGCTCATTTTTGTGACTATGCAACTGGAGCTAGAGTACTAGCTGCAAACCACAAAAATGACACTGGGAGATGTAAAAATACAAACCTATGAACCTGCATATTAGGAAGAAGAGAAAGAAAGAGAGAGAAAGAAAAAGTCCTAGGTGTGTGAGGCATGATCACGGATGCCAACCTTCAACCAAAACAACACATAAAACAACAAAAAGATGAAAGAGGATGAAGACGATCAAAGAAGGTGAAACCCACAACGTGACCCACAGTTTACTGTTGGCCGTCCATTAAAATCAGGCTTACATATGGTGAAGTTTCTCACCTGCGGAAGTCGAGCAATGGTCGTGTGGAGGTGGGGATGCCGTCAGCCGGCCAGCTCAGCAGGTGAAACTGTGTCACAGTCCTGGTCTCCTGTGTCTGGACGTTCTTTAGGTAGAAGCTGCGAACCAGGAAATCTTTGCACCAGATGTGTTCAGACACCAGGTTCACCTAAAATTCAAAAGAGGAGTTTGAATAGATATCAAATTTTCTTTTTTATAATGATTTCATTTTTTTTGTCAGACATTTTTGATTCCGTTTTTGTCTCAGTTAATAAAGTTGAATTTATTTTAAATTAAAACCATGTTCACTTACATTAGCTATTAAAAACTTAATGTTTTAAAAATATTTTTCTAAGAAAACAAGAAAAATCTGATTACACATTGAAGAGATAATAATTCGATGATTTGCTTCAGTGTGACACCAGGGGGAGACAAAGTACAAGCTTTTTCAGCTTATCTTAAAGGCCGAAAGATATTCACAAAATAAAACTAAACAGATTTTTGACATTCTCCTTATCAGCTTTGCTGAAATGCCAGTAGGCTCGTGGGTTATATAGAGCGGGAAGCTTGGTCCATGCCATGTCTAGGTTATGGTTCTCTGGATAATAATAATGTTTAAATATGTGACCCTCTCTGCAGCAAGTGTGTTAGATAAAGTTTAAACCCAGTATCAATTAAAGTGAACCTCATAGATGTGGTAGAGTGATGATCCTTCATCAGGCCAGTATCGCTCACACTGCTTCTCTCCATCTTCCACCAGCGCTGACATCATCACGATCACTGTGCAGCCGTTTTCCCACACCATCTGAATAATAGACAATAGAGAGAGTGCATAGATTAGTGGACATGGAGTGCAAAAAAAATATTTGAAATCTGTTTGGACGGCTGCACTTGCCTGCCAGAAATCAGTGACCGTGTGAGGCAGAGGCCCTTGTGTGGCAATATAGGCTGGTTGGCGTGGGTCATGATCAAACTGTGGGTTAGAAAGGAATATGAGAGCCTCTTGGTGCCGAGTAATTAAAGAAGCGCAATTTATTATGACCTTCATTTGATTAAGAGGACAAGTCTCTACGACAATCTGCACAAGTGATTAAGTATTCCTTACAATGCTGCTGGCGTTGACGTAGTCGTGTTTATTTGGATTGGCCTCAGTCTTTAGCTTCACCCGAGAGTGATCATCTGGAAGAGAACACATGTAGATTAATAGTCATGGCAAATAAATAAATAAATGAAAACGGCTGATGACAAAACACGAGAGTAAAAAAATGTTTGAAAAATCATCTGGTCAGTCAAGTACTGTCTGTCTGGTTGGTGAAGGCTGACCTATGTTTAATGATTCCTATTCCTACAAATGTGATTTATGGTTGAGCTCACAGGGGAGACACTCGGCGTGTCTGTTTTTGTCCATGTTGACTGGGTCTTGAGCCACAGTGATTGAGCTGGGTTCAGCCTGGTAGGAGCACAACGCCTCCCACTCCTTCTGAAGGCGATCCTTGTTACGCAGGTGGTCTTCCATATAGGCCTGTAACAGTAACAGCAAGGTAAATCACACTGTTCATTCAAAACTATTCATTTACAGACAGGAATCCTTTGTCAGAAATGATGCCTCCGTTTACACTGTGTAAATACAAATAATGTCTAAGACACTGACACTGTTCCCCAAATGGTACATATTCAAATAGAGACACTGACATAACGTGTTCCCCAAATGGTACATATTCAAATAGTGGGTAGAGGGCCACATGTGGCCCAGACACGACCTCAGAGTGGCCCAGTCTGTTGTCATTAAGAAATGTGCAGAAACACAGAGAATCACAGCTGGCGAGTAAAGAGAGTATTTTACAATTGAACAGACCATGAATGCAACACTCTTAGCAACTGATGAGACTCATGTCTCCCACAATGCAACACTTGTATGTCTGGAAGGGTTAGCAGTGTACTACAGTTCACATGTCTCTATGAAAGCAGCAATTTAAAATTATCCATAAAAATTTGTTGGTTTATTTCAGTACATCTCAAACAGTGGGGCAGGCCCCCCCGTGGGGCGCGGTGAGGTGCCTGGAGGGCGGGGGTCGTGAGGGATTTCCAATTAAATATGGCACACTGGACATAAGTGTCCCACTGCTGTAATGCTTGAATGATAACAAACCTCCAGTCACTAGGTGGCAGCAACTCATACAGTGTTTTGTACAGATAAAAAATATACATGTTATCAGGTTCTCAATAGTATTTCAATTTGTGGGGATGTGGGTTGGGGGGGCGTGAAAACATTTTTATCCCCAAAGGGGGGGGGCATGACAGAAAATAATTAAGAACCACTGGTTTTTTTAAACACACACACACACTCACCAGTATCATGTGACCAGTAGAAATGTCCATATTGGACTGGGCGGGCTCTTCACTCCAGGATGGAGTAGAGCTGTGGGTTGAGGATGGGCTATGTTGGGGGCCGTCACTAAATTGTGAAGAAACGCTGCTGACACGTGACGTGTCCGTCCCACGTCGACCCCCAGCACCTATGGCAGTGCCCGCTATGGTGCCGCTGCCTCCACCCACACAGTCCTGACGGCACAGGGAGGTTTTGGACGCCATGTGCTGCCGACACAGCTCCTGAAGGGAGGTCATGAGCATTTAAATGAAAAATGAATAAAACATTTTTAGCACATTTAATAAATCTATGACCAAATCGATATTTTTTTTAAGCATTTCTGGGCTAACATTTCCTGTAGCTTTGTAAGGCTTGTCTATTTTTTTATATTTAGCTATCATGCTAGTTCTTTAACTTGATGTCACTTAATCAGTTTTATCAAGCAATCAATCTATTTTGACTGCATTTTTATCTACCCTCTTTGACTGGGACTATTTCTTTGCTATCTTTAATTGTGTATTAGCTTAGCCGTATTAGCTTAATTAGCCCCCCAAAATATACTACAAATTGCAGACCTGGACATTAGTTATCTATTAATGATGATAGTAAGGTCATTTTAAACTGATGGATTATTTAATTTTAAGATAATTTTCGTTTTCACAGAAAGTCGTGTATAAAGCCATGGCCTACTTTAAATTAGAATTAAAAGTATATAACTATAAAGTAAATACATATAATTATAATATATCATACCTGGTAGTCAAAGTGGGTTTCAGTCCCTCCCTCTGGCCCCAGCCCAAGTTTCTCATTTGCCACCTGCTGTGTGTAGTGTTTCATACACACCACAGCCATGACCAACACCAGAACACCACCCACAACGGCCATGCAAATTAGAGTGATGACTGTCCCACTGGAGCCCTGGGACACTTTGGTCACTTGAGGGAGACCCCGTGCATCTATCCTCTGAAACAGCCAGAACACACATTTTATTTTTTTATTTTTTTTACAGCAACGTCAGTCTGCTCCTGACACTGCTCCGGACATAGATTTTATATCTCAAATAGCAATTATTTATAACATGTCTGGATAAGTACAGTCATTTTAGCCACAAATATGAATTAATTCCTTCTTCCTCCTTGATAACAACATGTCTGGATAAGTACAGTCATTTTTTTTTTTTAACGGTTGAATGTTTATGTTACATATGTACATGAATATATCAGTTGTATTTCCTGGAAAATAATTTCCCCTTTGGGAATCAATAGTAGAAGTAATTCTGGTTCTTATTCTGATTTCTAATCCAATCCCTGCAGCATGTATAATGCAGGCAGGGCAGATTGGTGAATTGTGTTGCAGTGAATAGGAGCAAATAATGAGGTTAATGACACCTGTGGCTGTTGCTATGGCTTCCAGGATCAGAAGCCACAGCAGAGGGAGTCGGGGAGGGGGGGGGCAAAACACCATGGCACCAGTTGAAAAGTGGGCTGTCACACAGTGTCTGATATTCTTTCTGGTCACCTATCCCCCCTCCCCCCTCCATCCTCCTCCTACCTATCCACAGGGTGTGCAGCAACACTCTGGTATCATGTCGACATACACAGACATCTCATCTGCAGAGGTCACGTCACATTTGAAGAGTCGTTTACCAAAAAGGTTTCAGCCAGTGAGTGTGGTGACCGACGTCGGAAAAGACATAAATTGTTAATTCAATTTGGCGATATCGAGTCGAGCTCATGAATGACAGATTCAAGTGGAAATGGTACGGAACACGGAGCGGCCGTTTTCCCTCTGTTGCCATGGCAGCCACTCCAAACATTACTGATCTTTGGTTATGAAGGAAAATGTACTCGTAGGTTGTGTGAGTGTGTCGCATCTACCTCTCCCACGCCAGTCTGTAAAATCTTCATGCCTGTCTGAGCCTCCAGGAAGTTTTTCTCAGATGCTGAGGCAATAGAAAAAAAACAACAGATTGTTATTTCCGAGAGATATTTTTTAGATTCATTAACATAGAAGTGAATGGAGGAAACAGTAATAGAGAAATACTGTTGTTCTGGCTGATATTTGGCTGCTAATAATAATAATAATAATAATAATAATTGAGTCCATTTATTGTCCCACAGTGGAGGAATTTACAATGTGAGTGTTTGCAGTTGACACAGGCTGCCACAGGAGGTGCCATTAAGTATGAGGTTCCTCTTGGAGACAAACCCAGGACAGGACTCTTTTTGAGAGGCAGGTGTGCTAACCACTGCACTATGGAACCACATCATCCAATAAACCATCAATCAGAAGTAACTTCATCAATCTCAAGTGTAAATATTAAGAAAACAGTACAACAGCGACCCCTACAGTATGTCTGTGTTTCCTAGTCCTCACCAGCTTTAGCAGCCATGTCTGCAGCCGTCATATTGTTTTCATTCTGGCGCATGCGGAATGTAAGTGCAGGGCCCACAACACTGAAAACACACACGTACACTTCATTATTCAAATGAACATCTTACAACTTTAACAACTGACTGACACGGCTGCTGCAGCAGTCAGAAAGTTCCTATTATTTGAGGACTGCTGTTTGGACAGTGACAGGGTTTTTTTTCACCTGATGTTGATGAAGCTGCGGGTTGTCAGGTGAATCTTATCAGCCAGCAGTTCCAACAGCTTCACTCCATCGATGAGAGTCAGGGAACTGACAAGAACAAAACAAAGTTGATAACTACAGCAGAATTTTAAAACAACACCTCTTTCATTTGCATAGTATTCTGTTTGCGTCGGCGCTGACCTGTCATTGGTGAAAATGTAACCGTACTCCTCCTTGGATCCTGTACCCTCCACCAACGGCGGCTCATGCTCCTTCAAGACTACTCCAGCTTCTGCAGGAGCAGCCTGAGGAGTCTGGGGGGCAGAGGGTGGAGTGCTGGTGCCTTTAACCGGGGGTGTTGCTCGGACTGCATCAGGGGAGGGTGGGGGTGAGGCAGCAGGAGGCACAGACGCCGGCCTCTGTGGTTTATTTGACCCTCCATCTGTTTTCAGCAGTTGCATCTATGACGTGAAATCAAACCAGACTTGTTACAGGGCTTAAAAAAAAAAGATAACAACATTCCCCATCAACTTCCTCTTTGTCTTGTATTTCCACAGATCCAATGGAGAACGACCTCCTCATCCTCAAAGAGGTGAGTCGGCCCCCTCAGCTCAGCTGTGTTCACAAATTACAACCATCTTTTTTTTTTAAAAAAAAGATGGTTGTAATTTGTGAACACAGCTGAGCTGAGGGGGCCGACTCACCTCTTTGAGGATGAGGAGGTCGTTCTCCATTGGATCTGTGGAAATACAAGACAAAGTGGAAGTTGATGGGCATAGTTGTTATTTTTTTTTTTTTAAAAAAAAAAGATGGTTGTAATTTGTGAACACAGCTGAGCTGAGGGGGCCGACTAACCACTTTGAGGATGAGGAGGTTTTTCTCCGTTGGATCTGTGGAAATACAAAACAAAGAGGAAGTTGATGGGGAATGTTGTTATCTTTTTTTTTTTAAAAAAAAAAAGATAACAACATTGCCCATCAACTTCCTCTTTGTTTTGTATTTCCACAGATCCTATTGAGAAAGACCTCCTCATCCTCAAAGTGGTTAGTCGGCCCCCTCAGCTCAGCTGTGTTCACAAATTACAACCATCTTTTTTTTTTAAAAAAAAAAGATGGTTGTAATTTGTGAACACAGCTGAGCTGAGGGGGCCGACTCACCTCTTTGAGGATGAGGAGGTCTTTCTCCATTGGATCTGTGGAAATACAAGACAAAGAGGAAGTTGATGGGCAATGTTGTTATCTTTTTTTTTTTTTAAAAAAAAGATGGTTCACCATGATGTACGTATCAGGAAGTGTACCTATCTTGTCTTGGGTCTGCGGCAGCTGCAACGTCAGGGCCAGCTTGTAGAGCTGCTCCTGACTGAGGGCTCTGGGGTCCACTCCATATCTCTGCAGGACTCCTGACATCCTCTGGAGTAAATCATCTGAACACAGTTAACGCTCATTAGATTTAGAGCAGTTGACACACTGCACATTGTATACATTAAGATTAGAGTATGTAGGAAACTCTGAAATCTATCCATCATCCATTAATCCATCCATTTTTTTTCTTGTCTCACCGTTGTTATTAGACAGTGAGCTGTAGTCCTGAACAACTTTCTTGTTTTGCGGCATTTGCTGTCTGCCTGCAGTACCAAGTCTCTCCTCTAGGGTATAGTCCTTTACATAGTCCACTGGAACCTCCAGCACCATGTCCTCATAATACGGCAGATCTGCTTTCAACACGAGAGAACGATGAAGAGCCAACGATTCGTTACTTACTGTCTAAATATGACATGCCTTGATATTTTGATAAAAGTATGTGTGTGTGTGTGTGTGTCCACCGTCTGACCTGCAGGAACCATGGAGGCCGGTCCTCTGTGGCGATACAAGGGCTGTGCAGATGTCAGGTACTTGGACAAGGCTTCCTGTAGCAGCTGTCTGTCACGCTCTCGTTCCCTCTGATTGGCCTGGGACCTGGAGTAGGGGCGGCCGTAGTTTCCTCCGATGCCTATCAGAGATCTCTCTTCATCTGGGAACCTGTGCTGTTTGTGTGAAAATCATGTCACCGTTACTCATCCACTCAGATGTGATTTTCTGTCATGTTTGTAATGTGAGTAAATTGAACCTGGGGGTACGCATATGGGTCCATGGAGGCCGTCTGCATGAGCATCTGTGACTGAGGAGGCTCAACGATCATGTAGTCCAAATAGTTGCCCCCCGGAGAGGCAGACCCCGACTTTGAGCTGTGGTAACTGGGGACCTGCTGTTTAGAACTGGTAAACGAGACAAACAGGAACTGTGATGAATAACAGAAAAAACTAAAACAGAAATCTGTTTACAGAGTACATTTATTCATTCATTCATTCATTTTTCTTCTACTTTTTCTCTACACTTTTTTTCCTTAAAGTCATGGAGGGGGGCTGGAGACAATCCCAACAGCCAACAGTAATCAACTGTTGAGCGACCATTCACACTAACAGCCATGGTAAGACTAATAATTAGTTCTAGTTAAAAACATGTCTGACATTTTTTTTAAACTAAAATTCTCTGCTTTGTGGTCAATGTTCTTGTAAATGACACAATTCACCAAATGCCACCCTGACCCACTGAGAAAACCTGCAACAAAAACTCAAGCATAAAAACAAAACAAAGTGACTTAATAGTTCATACTGGGATGAATGGGGAGTGGAAGACGGGGAGTTAGTCTTAGAGGAGACGGTGGTGTGGGGGACTCTCTTCAGCTCCTTTGCTAAAATGGCCTGGGTGAAGTCATCCTGCCACGACAGCCCTGCAAGAACAAAAACATGTTAAAAAATTAAAATAAAAATAAAATTATAGACAGAGAGAGAGAGAGAGAGAGAGAGAGAGAGAGAGTACAACTGTACCTTGTAGCATTAGCTGTTTAAGGACTTCCTGCATCCTTTTCAGAACAGGAACTGTCACCTGATACCGCACCTGGTTCTGCTTCGAGGTATGGCACTGACCAAACAGCCCATCTGGAGTAACCGCGTTCAAAAAGAAAAAGTAACATCGTAACAGTCAGTGAGAAAAGTACAGGTTTCTGTTATAACGACAGGGTTTTTGCTGTTGTACCGACGACGACGTCCGTCATCAGAACAGGCCTACTGCACAGT